CTGAGTTTGTTACAAATATTGGCATTAATGGCCCATTGTCAGCTGCTATTGTTGCTACAGCGCGATGCTTTGTACAACCAAATTTCAAAATTTGCTCCATTCTTAAAGCGATATTAAAAGATGAAATAATTAACTTGCATAAGAAAAGGCTTCGTGAAACAAAACCAGTTAGTGACTCCAATGATGATAATTCAAACGAAATGAACTCCATGAGTAATATTATACATACAGTTAATAAAGCTGTAAGTGTCATAATGAAAAGACTAAGTAATATCTCATATTTCGATAATATGGATGCCAAAAAAGTTTCCATACTTATACAATCTGCTGTAAATGTAGATAATTTATGCCGGATGGATCCAGCTTGGTATCCATGGTTGTAAACACTTTAAAATTAATTTATTATGATTTAAATATTTAAATTGAAGATATATAATATGAAAAACCCGTTTGTTGACTTAAAATTAAATTATTTTTATTGCTAACGCATATTAAAAAAAATTATAAGTATAGAATATATGTTAATTTATAAATAATAAAAATACGCGGGATTAATATTTTCATAAACTAATATTAATTATATATATGATAAATTTATATTAATTATTGAGTATATAATCAATAAATAAGGACATTATTGGCGTTGCGTTAGTTATTAAGCTACAAAAATTATTGTGCATAGAGTAAACGGCTCTAGGTCGTTGATATTCACATTTTTAAATTAAGCAAATAAATAGAAAGAAAAAAAAAACACTATCAATTACTAAATACATTCTTTGAATTGTGACATAATTTTAACATATTTTTTTTTAAATTTGTTTTGTAAATTTCACTGACTTCTTTTAAATAATATAATTTGAATACAGGAATTTATATTTCTTTTATTTAAAATAAAATTGATAAAAAAAATTAAATATATTTTTTTCTTCTATAGTAAAAATTTTATTGGAAAAAATTTAAATGAAAATTACAATGTTATGCTTTGAATAAATTGTAACATAAAGCCATCTTAAATTTATATTTGAGTAAATAAAATGTTAATGGATCTTGAATTTTTCTAGTTTTTCTTGGATCCAATGAAATTATAAGTTAAACAGAGCATTTCTTGGAATTTTAAAGTTTAACCTTCATTAAAAAAGAGAATTGTTTTAAAATTATTGATTCTGACATTCTTTTACTGATTGTTTTTGTTTGCTACCAGTATTTTTACCATCGTCATCTCCAGATTCATCATCCTCGTCTTCATCATCCTCTTCTCCGTTAAACTCGTCATCATCATCATCCTCGTCGTCGATTATATCACCGGTGTAATATAAAACAGCTTTTGGTATAATGCGAGCGCGTAGAACGTGACCAACTTCGAAATCAGTAGCCAATAACTAAATTTATATTCACGACATTATTTATTTAATTTATGTAAAGACATAAAATATATTGCTTACACTTTGAGTATCTTCATCCACCTCTTCTTTATCATCTGGTACTTCTGGAGGGTTAAAGAAATTGAAGAAGGAATCATTTGGAACTTGTTTAACAATAGTACGGAAAGCACCACGTTCCTTATGTCTCTGCTTCTTTCTTATTGTTTTAACAGTTAAATTCATCTTTTTTTCCCAATTGATGTTACAACCCTTTAATGTGTTAAATATTAATAGTAATTATTTATATTAAACAATAAAAATAACAAAAAAAAAGTTAAAGGACTTACCTTGCACTTAAATATTTCTGTACCTTCGAAGCTGAAAGGGTATTCTTCATCCACAGTGGATTTTAAAAAGTATTGTTTAGTTAAAACTGGATCAGAGAAATACTCATTTTTATCGAAGTGGAATTCCAATGTATACCCGGGCTATATAAATTTTTTATTAAATAAGTAAAAAATTAATTAGGTTTTTAGTTTCAAAAGAATATTATTTATTATTATTATTTGTTTCAGTTTTCTTAATTTGGCTTTTATATAAGTATGTGCAAAATAATGGTCATGATGTTAGGTCGAATGAAAACATTGATATCAGTGATTTTCGTACATAACTAAAATTCCTGGGATGTGTTAAACTTTAACATTGCTAGCCATTGAACTTTACAGCTTAATATTAATATTAAACAATATTAACTTGAAACGCAATGACTTAATATAAGAAGAGAAATATATATATGTATTTAACACTTTGCTTAACATAAATAAAATATATATACATAATTTTGGAAAATATATATTAAAAATAAAATAAATAAATATAATAGTATAAAAATGCTATTTATTACCGTACCTGTTCTTCATATTTAATAGTTATATCAGTTAGTTTTCTCAAAACCGGCTCATCATGTTCCTGCACCATTTCTGATAACAACTCAGTATTTCTGAATATAGTTAACCAAAAGTTTGGAATACCCTTAGTGTCCTCAGGAATATCTTTAAATTCCCTACAATACAGTTTTTATAATTGAAAGATATTTATATTGTCTTATAAATATATTTACTTTAAGATTTGAGAGAAATCTGAGCCAACTGATTGATCAATATCGCTATTCTCTGTGTTCCACTTGGGTTCTTCTTTTGGAGGATCAAATTTTCCAGTAACGATTTCTTTGCGTTTTTCAAAAAATGGTAAATACTTTTTTTGATACAACATTTCTAACTTGTAAACCTCTTCAAAAAACTCAGCTTCGACTTTAAGATGATCAAGTTGAATATTTTTCAAAGAAGTAATGCGATTTTGTATCGAGGATGGAAGATTTTTCACCATTTCTTGCAAAAATTGGCGACGCATCAAAGCACCCATATATGCTGGACTGAAAAAATAAATAGGAGTACAAAGGTACTGTAGGATTATTCACAATATAAAATAAATTAAATATTATTTAGCGATATTATATTTGTACAAATATTTTTCTAATATATATTTATAATATATGTACATATATGTATACCTTTATGTATACTTATATATATATATATATATATATGCTTATTAAAAATTATTTTCTCTATAATTACACCATATGATTTTCTGAGGTTTTTTTGCCATCTTCAGACTCGTTACATGACTCTGGCTCAGTATCTTCCTTCGATGCATCCATTTTAATAAAACTGTAAATATATTATATTATGTTTTTATTACAATATAAAAATGTTAAAAAAGGTAAGTTAACACGTGAAATTTGCAACTATTAATAAATGGCGTGTTTTGCAAAAAACACGTGTCGGCATTTATAATATAATATAAACGCAAAACATTAGCGAAATTTACTATTAAATACATTTTTTATATTAGAAAATGAAATTATATATAAAAGCTTTTTATAATTTACAATTAAAAATTTGCGCAAAATTACCTTAGCTCCTTTTTCCGAATAACACCAAAACCGAATACCAGAACATGCACTCCACAAAGTACTAGCACACGTTTTTAGCGTTTTTAAGGAACTAAAGGAACGATATATAAATTGGAACAAAAACGATAACCACTTTTATCTGTTTGATTGACTCACACAAGCGTCAAACAATCAAACTGAATATTTTATTTGAACAGATTATATGGATTATTTATATAACTATATTATAAGCAATTTGACAATATTGTCATAAACTATGTTATGTTTAATACAATTTAAAAATGTTCTTTAAATATTAAACGCTTTTTCGCTTGTTAATAAAATTAATTGAACACTACTCAAAACAACAAGTGTGTCCCAATGTCATGTCCCACGTACATGTAACGGCGTTTTCGATTGGTAAATTTAAATTCAAACAAGATTTATTTATAGATCTGTCAAATTTTGTTGCCCAATATCACATTTCGCTCAGATATATTCATTAACTTAATAATTATTTGGTTAGTAAGCATCTTCATCTTCGTTATTACCGTTTGACTTGAGAGACATCTCTTTAATAAATTTTTCATTTTGTGTCTGATCCGACACATCTGTTTCCAAATGGTCTACCAATCAATCTTCTAATTATAATACAAATATAGATAACTTAACTTTCTAATACAAATTCGAATTTGATCTCATACACGCGTTGAATATGAAAAGAACACACTTCAAGAAGATCCAATAGGCGATTTTTCAATAAGCGTCTCTTAACACGGAAAAGGTATAAGCTGAATAGCGTCTTTTCCTTGTTAGCGACTACTATTGTACCACTGTTTAAGATGCAAGTGAGAGCGTGTTTTGTAGAAAAGGACGACTGTAATAAAAATTTTAAATCAACTACTGTCGCTGATAAAAATTCTACCAACAAAAATCACTAAGATCGATGGTATCGAAAAACCAAGTCTGTCTATCGGGAACCAAGTCTGTCAGGTGATTCCATGAGTAACATAACGATTAGCACTAATAGCAACTAATGACCCACTTATCTATTTTAAGAAAATAAACATTATTCAAGTTGAAATATTATATTTTGGTGCATTTATAGTTGGAGCATTTATTGAGTTGCTCTAGCATCTGTATAAGGTAAGGTATCAAAAGTCATCTAATCAAAGAACATAAAATGCGGAGACTCGGCGTTCAGTCACCCTTTTCAATCTAAAAACGAATATAGAACAAACGAACCTTTTGTCAGTTTGCAAAGATGGTAAGCGGTATGGCGTGGCGGGCATCTTAAAGCTGTCTCTGTGATCGAAATTCCATAATGTCCTTGCTACCAAACTTGGCTATCTTCTGAGCCCTCACCACTAGACACGAGCAACACTAATGTGGTAATCAACGATTAGATGATAAAGGTTAGCGATGCCGTGATGGCGGCAAGAAAGATATCAATTACGGGTTCGGGTCGATTACAGACCGAGTGTTAAGTCGGTCGGGAACTTCACGCAATTGTTACCACTCTGAACAAATTTTTAACGAATATCATCATATCTTTCGAAAATGGTAGTAGTTGCATTTTATCTTCCGAACTAATAGGTAAATTTATCAATCAAATAGTGTTCTACTGCCTGAAACCGTTATGAACCTTCAACAACATGCTAAAACAGGACTTTATGAAGACTTTAATGTCAGAAGTGACCAACAGAATGATTCGAGTCAGTATGAAAGCTGTGTGTCTGACCTTCTTACCGTAGTATTCGCATCAGCTGTTAATGCGACCTGCAAACTTTTTAAAATTTAGGAGTAACTCCAAGTTATTATGGTAGTACTCAGAAAGTAGAGGCCATTCCATAACATGAAGGAAAGTCTTTAATAAAGCTAAACTTTGTGTAAACTATATATTTTTTTTACAAAGTAACGATATCTGATACAAAATAACGATATTTGAATACTGGAATTGTAAAGGATTGCAGTACGTCAGTTTATCAAGCTGCATTATCAAGGAGTTTAAGGGTAACAAAGATAGGTACCGAGGTGAATTATGTGATAATCTACAATAGCAAGAACACCCAAATAAGTTCAACAAATCAGCTATTATTTTCTTAAATTATTTTGATACTGACGAGCATATCGAAGAAATATGTCACTATAGCTGATTTATAACCAATAAGTTGATACCACTCATAAAATAAATCGACGTGACTATTTAATTGTTTTATTGTTGCATTCAATTATTATTGTAATTCAATATAGTAAAATAGAATAAATAATTAAAAATAAAACACATAACATAGTATATTGTAGTTGTGTATGTAATATTGACTCTTTATTATAAAATTTATTGTTTGAATGAATCTCCTATATAACGGTACGGTCGAGCTCGTATACGTTTTGAAAATGATCTATTATAATGTTTTTCCTTTTTATATTCCTTAGGATCATAAAATTGTCCTTCCGTTTCCAAAAATATATCAAAACTATACATTGTTCGTAAAAGTTGCATAGATAACATAGCCATTTCATTATTAAGTTGTTCTTGGCACAGAGAATTGGTCCAGTATTCCATAAGCTTAAAAAAAGAAAGTATTTTCAGTATTAGTATTAAAGTTTTTTATAATTGTCATCATTTTAACACTAATGCCATAATATGTTAAAAGAAATACCTTGTATACAAAAAAATATAAAATAAATGTATTGCTTGCCGCAAGTTAAACTTGTTATATCAGATAAATAAATGTCTAAAACAATATTTTGTAATCCAATTAATAATTGAATTAATTGAACAGCTCTAGATGAACCTGTTCTTCATGTTGACTATCAACATACGAGGGCGGTTTGATAAGTCAGTGGCTTTTTAAATTTCCCGCGCAGTTACTCCAAATGCAACAGTGCTGCCGTCAGCTGTAATCTACTACTATGCAACTTTTTAATTTTGAGCAAGCTACGTCGTTCACTTGGTGTTTGATAGCCGTTCAAAGCAGACAACCTCGTGAATTTTTACAAAAATGGAAAAAAGTGAATTTCGTGTGCTGATTAAGCATTGTGGCCAAAATTCACGAATTGAGATACGAACTGCTACCCCATCCAGCATATTCTCCAGATTTAGCCCCCTGCGACTATTTTCTGTTTCCAAAACTAAAGAAATGGCGAAATTCACTTTTTTCCACTTTCGTAAAAATTCACGAGGTTGTCTGCTTTGAACGGCTATCAAACACCAACTGAAAGTAATCTTCGGTGTTATTTGACCCGTGCCAATTAGACGAATGGCACTACGTTAGTGTGTCTTAAATGAAAGCCTCCGGATAACTGACGCTCTCCGGTTGTAACTTTGCCTTGTCCGGGTATAGCGGATCTCTGTCCGGATTGACTTCCCCCTTTCTTCGCACCTCATGAATTAAATCATAAAATAAATAAAAATAAACAAAATAATTCGAAAGCGGGAAGCTGGGCTACACAGAGCTTAAAAATTTCGGACATCACGTATCCAAACAAGGCACCCACCACGTCTTCTAGTGGTAATAAAAAGGTGCCCATCAATAAATTACCCAATATATCCCCGCGTTGTGGACCATTAATTAGGTTATGCCCTCCGTCGAGGAGCTACAAAGAATGCCGAGCGACGACTAGACAGCTAGTATGGCCAGGCGACAAACTCAAGGTTGTTGCTAAGGAGAAAATCGTGAGTTCAAGCAGAACCATCCGATCCTCAGCGGATTTTGGAGCTTATTAGGTCAGGAAACCATCAAATAACGACAGAAACGTGAAACCACGAAGTTAGAGAAAGCCAAGGGCAAGTACAGGTCAGCTAGTTTTATGATTAACAAAGCATCCTTGGTCATTTTTGCGAGATCTGGTGGTGTCATAAAGTACGGTTTCTCAGCCATTACAATGAGGATGAGGAGCAATCCTCACTGAATGCAATGGGTTCAGTAGCACCGCAAGGCATTGTTGACACCCAAACGGAAGTGGGCGACAATAGACCTGCTCTCGCAACTATAGTGGCTCTAGTGGAAACACTGTGTCACACACATAACAGAAACACACATATCTCGACTGAACGTTTTCTCTCCAGTCTCCTCATTTGCATCAGAGGAAAGCATGAGTACGCGCTATCTCTTCGATGAAAGGGAGCTTCTAAACTCAAGCAATGAATATAGAGGAAAGAGCGCTCGATGTAACGGTGGTGTACATAACCATATCCATAACGAACTATGATGCGAGTGCTACAAATTAACCTGCAGCCCTGTAAACCTGCGTCCTCCAGTCTGCTGCAATGCCTCAGCAATAAGCAGGTCGCTATGGTCCTGCTGCAAGAGCCACGAGTTTATAGGGATTATGCATGCGGACTCAGGACAAAAAAGTTTGATTTAATATATGCGGTCAACAAGGGTAAGCCTAGATTTTGTATACTAATAATTTAAAAAAATATAACGCTTTCATGCTTTCGCAATATAGTGACAAAGACCAAACTGCAGTAAGTATTGAGGGACCTTGGGGCCAAATATTGGGAGTATCTACATATTTTATTCACGATCACGATGAAATACCATCAAGTAACCTGAAACAGTTGACAAACGGCGCTAGGAAACTTGGTGTGGAAACCCTTTTAGACTGCGACGCCAATACTCATCATGAACTATGGTGCAGCTCCAATACAAATGAACTTGTTGAGTTACTTTCTTATTTTATTTTTAGTAATAACCTCTTTATACGTAATGACGGCAATAGGTCAACCTTTATTACCAAAAACAGGCTTGAAGTATTAGATATCGCCGTCACTATTGCCAAACTTAATGGGTCTGTTCAGAAATTGAAAATGCCTATTCAACATTCCTTTTCAAACCATATGATTTCAGAATATATTTTAGTATCAACTTAGCCAATTACTCCCAGTTTAGAAATATTCAGAAATGTCAGATATACGAACTGGACTAAGTACAATTCAGTTGTAAATGAGGTGATGACAAACATCTCTTCTGATTCCCCAGAAAATACAAATGATCTGGACTTAATAAAGCTTTTAACCTTGCCTGTCCTTCTACTCGACCTAGTAGGAAGTGTAACCCACCTTGGAATAGAAGTTTAGGTGAGTTGCGGAAGTAATGCAGGGGACTTTTTAATAAGGCAAAGCTAAATAGAAATGAGAGAGATTAGTCCGTTTACAAGATCTTTCTGTAGAAATATAATAAAGGATCACGTAAGTGTTAATTCTATCAAGTTCAGCCATGTTCCAATTCAATGAAGGAAGGTTGTTTTTATTCCCAAGACCCCTAAAACTTCTCATCGTAGCCCCAACGAACTCCGTCCAATTAACCTCTCATCTATCGTGCTGAAGGGTCTATAAAGAATTATAGAATTCGAAATAAGGCGTGCTATTGATCCCTATCATTACTTCCCTTCACAATCAACGAAGACAATGTTCAATTTAAAGGAGTTTTATATAGTTGCTTTTGTAGATATGGAAAATTTTTTTAACAATATTCTTCTTAGTGCAATAACAAACGCACTCTCGCATTTGGGTGTTGATAATACGTTCATTAGCTTTATCGGACAGTTACTAACTGGCAGAATTATTGAAGCAAATATGCGTTCATCAACAGAGCACAGGCAGGTAAATAGAGGTACTCCCCAAGGAGACACAAAAAATGCCACAAAAATTAAGGAGATCGAGTTGTGAGACTATAGCATATGCGGATGATATTGCGTTAATGGTTACCGAAAAATATGCTACCAACATAAGGGATGTTCTGCTGGTCTTAATATCCTAAATAAATTGAGTCTAAAATGCAAAATTGAAATCGTAGCTTTTACCAGTAAACATAGAGTTCCCATTCATTCTCCACACTGTATCCGAGGTTCTGCGATAAACTTTATTGAGAAAATAAAATCTTTACGCATTTTTTTCGATACAAAACTTAGTTGGAAAGAAAATATTTTGGAGCGCGCTAAGAAAGCCAACATTGCGTTGCTCTATGTCAGAAAGCTGTTGGCAAAAGGTGGAGATTACAATCATGTATTACTCAATGACTATACACGGCTGTCATTAGACCAATACTTTTGTATGACATCACGGCATGGAAGGTGACCGAGGCGCAGAGCTAAACTTTTAGTGGTATTAGTACTATTAGTATTAGTGCTGCTCTGTGTACCACACCATCAATTGCGTTAAATCTAATGCTTCACTTAATGCCACTTGACCTCATCAATAAACATTCTACTCTGAGACTGAAAGCTACATCACAATGGAGGGCTAGTTACCATAGACACGGCTCCATTCTAAAACTTTACAGTCCTACTCCCAATAACATTGACTGCCCTCCCGTTTTCGATTTTGAAAGGAAATTTATTGTTGCGTCCTATCCAAAGATGTTTGGCTGTCAGGTGGCCCGTCCTTGGGGGAGGGTTTGACCATTTTTACCAACGGTTCAGAAATTAGAAGAGGCATAGGAAGTGGAGTTTCCTCAGATAGGCTGAATATTTCCTCTCTCTATAGGCTTCCAGATCACTGTAGTGTTTTTCAGGCAGAAGAAGTGCTATAAGGTAAGCTATAGCTTGTCTAGAAGTAGATGATACTTCATACAAATATATACATACTATCAGACAGTCAAGCTGCTTTAAAATCCCTGAGCTCAGTCCAATTTATATCTAGCACAGTCTTTGACTGCTACACATCTCTAAACGAGGTGTCAACGCAGCTCAGTATTTTTCTAATCTGACTCCACGGTCATAGAGATATTTTCGGCAACTGCAAAGCAGACGAGTTAGCCAGAAAGGGAGTTTCAAGCGAATTGGCACCGAGTTCTTCCTTTTTAACAAAACATGGGAAGACTCAACGATGTGCAGGCATCTGTATGCAGTTTGGCCACGCTCAGTGGTAGGTTTACTTACAGGTCAGTAACCATGCTAGGAGACTAAATCTCCCTTTCAACCATACCTGCTGCATTTGTGGAGAGGACGATATCTGTTTTGGCGAACAGTAAGATCTCTCTCTGAATAGCATTATAAGGTTTGCCAAAGATTATAAGTATTTCTACCTATTGAGTTTTTAATTATACGGTAACATAACGGGCTTGTAGGCTAAAGTGGGTTCCTTCGGATCGCCGGTATAACCTAACCTAACTCATATATCGTAGAACATAATACCGAATTGAATCATTAATCAATTAGAGGTGTAGCTTAGATCGCCTGCATGTAGTGTTTCCTGGACAATGCTAAATGATATATTGCTTCGATCTTGTTCTCCTTGGTCTTGTCCTTTTTATGGGTTTTAGCATCTTTTTTTGTCATCATATTTTAGCATCATTAATTAATATATTTCATTTTTAATTGCCTTGAGCTAGTAGCTATCGTGTATTGGATTTAGCTGTATTTTCATCCCATGCGGACATAAGTAGAATCATACCCTCTCTAAGCGACTCGGGAACTCTGCCAGGTAGTAAAGCTGTCTCTTCTACTGGTGCCCAAATTAAGGCAAACGAGCTTACAGTGGCACAAGCCACAAATAAATCCAAGTCTTCGTGTGCACATCAACACATTAACCTGTCAACAAGAACATATATGCGTAGGCTCGCCCGAATCCTAACCAGGATAACGCCATTGATTCTTTCGAAGGGGATGAGGTTGTACTTAAGAAACCCAGACAACTTCAACCTAGCTATCTGATGACAATCAAAAAGCTCGGGGCAGTCTAGAATGGCTTGTAGCTCTAAATTTTTTCTGTGGACAAAACAGCACAAGTTTCCAGCCTTTTGAAATCTTAGCCATCATTAAAGCAATACTTACTTGCCATGTCACGGCTAAAAGGTCGTAGGTGTCACTGTACCCAAGATGACTTACGTGAGACTATCGTTCTTAACGAATAATCACTCGCCCCCTTATCAATAATCAATAGTGGATGAAGTAAACAACTAAAAGATCCCGGTCAATATCGTAGCAGATGCAGATGCACATCATGACGATGTGGTATCGCTGTACCAATACGCGAGGTGAGTGTTTTTTGATTTCATTCTTGCAGGTAATTCAATAATTTTTAATTTATGTGATAAACAGACTTTCATGATCTTAAATAGAATGAAAGTACTCTATATTCTGAAAAGTACCCTTATCAGAAAGGACTCTACACACTTCTAACTAGCTAGTACGTATCACAGGAGTGCTCCTTTTCGGAACACACATACTAAACATTAAATTTTGAAATGAATAGGTCATCCAAACAAATGAAAAAAAAAACTCCTAACTCCAGCTTGCAGTTGGCCTCTCCTGTTAATCGTAACTGCGCTTACGTTTGCCATTAATGCAGCCCGGAAACCGTCCAAATTCGGGGTAGATCCAAACCTTTATGTACAATTCGACGATTGTAGATCTTTGCAAAACTCTTGGAGTTAAAGCTACAGGATACTGGGCCCCATATAAACAGAAGCAAATAAAATTTAATTGCGGCAAAGTGCTAACTGACGGTATGTAATAAAAATTCTGAAAACGGAATATATTAGTTCAGCATTTGCTATTTTGTGTGCTATATTCTACTGAAAATTATGAGCGGAGGCAATTGTACGTTAAGCACATCAAAAAGCTGCAATCTCAATAAACAGGTGATAACTTTGCCACTCGCCTCTCACAATATCTTTCATAATTGAATCTGGAGAAATTTTCACAAACTTGCAGTAATTGGCTATTATCTTTGCTAAAGAACTAACTGATATTTTAGGAGTTTCACGGCGCTACCATAGTGAAACACGCAGCAGACCAAGCTACCCTTCAGTCAGTTGCGATGCATACTGCTAAAATACGATATCAAAAAAAGAGAAGCGAAAGGAAAAGAAAAGTCTTTTCAGGCTACAAAGTAAGTAGAAAGTCGTGAGTACGAAAAGCTTCATTGAACTGAGGGATAGATAAAACTGTGTAATAGTATATGGCTCGAAAATTGAATAAAAAAATCAAAAACCTGACAAATATTTATGAGTTCAGAATTAATTTTTATGAAGATAAAAATGGTAAACATTTTATAGATATCTACGGCATACCTAATATTAGGAGGAATCATTTTTCGAACCTACTAAATAGCGGTAGTTATGCTATGCCTGAAATAAGAGCTGATCTCAAATTTTCATGCATTGTCAATGGAATAATTGTTCGGCCCCACCTTGGCTTAATTAGTAGCCAAAATTTTAGTATATTAAGACTAAAGTATTAAGTTGTTTCGCCTTTTTGCTTTTATATTAGCAAGTAGACTCACTTCATTGAAACTATCCACATGTTAATATCTTTATTACAACGATAATTGCAACTAGTAGAACTTTCTGACATCGACTATCGATGAGAGGTTCACATACTGATATAGGCTGAATGATTATAACAATAATATGGGTATTCAGGCAACAGATTAGTTGTTTACTAGATTTTTACAACAAAAATTTGCATACAAAGAAGAAACTAAGTAGAGAATCTACTATTTCGGAGACTCTCAGATTAGTGAAAATTTGATTAATAGTGCTGCTAGTACTAAGTGTCGACACTATGAGCATAGGGTGTCTTAAAAAAAAAATTCAAAAATAAAAACATAAATTAATAAATAAAATTCAGTAAAACTATAATCGTTAAACGGATAAAATATAATTAAAAAGTATAAAATTGAATATTCTACTTCTTGATATATGACACGCTTGCAATTTCAGTTATATGATAAATTATATGATATGATAAGATAAGATAAATTATATGATAAATTTAAATGATATTAAAATTTACGAATATTTGAGTATTTTACTTGTTAACATATGTTTCGCTTTTTCTGTTGATACGAGTGCTGCCAAGGCATTTGCACACAACAAACTAATCAGATTACGCATTTTGGGTCGTTCAAGCAACAGATTAACATCAAAATGCATTTTTTTTTATATGAAGTTTTTTAATCAAGTAAGCAACTAAGCTGTTGCCTGAATACCCCTAATATTATAATCAATAAATCTCCACATATCAGCACTCTTACAATTATCTATGGAAGCAAAAATTTACGGTCATATTCTAGTTCACGCTACAGATTTCTGCTAGTTACTTATCATACAAAATATTTAACAATACATACGAGATACAGTTTGTTTTGTTAAGGTTTTGTTTAACATATTTTAATAAATATCATATAAAATTTATATTATAAATGTAAAATGATTTACCTTTATGGCTGAATTATTGGTTGCATTATGTTGACCATTCCAAGATATATTTATTGACCATAGAGGACTTTCGAAGGGGAATTTCAGGGGTAAGCTAATAAGGCATTCCATTTTAGCTGACCCTTTAACAATTAATGCGCGATAGAATGAATTGGAATCTTTTACATCAGAATCTTGATTAGTTTTGTCTACAAATGAAGCATAATAGTCTTCTTGGTCAATAGATGTCCATTTCACTAAACTGCACGACGGTTCACCCGGAGGTAATTTTTCATTTTCAGTATATAAAAATATTTTATTATTTACAATAGCTTTTAATTGGGTAAAAAGTATTAATCTGCATTGCCAAAGCTTTTTTATTTTATTAATAACGTTGGATATAACATTAAGAGTTTTTTGCTCTTCCCAATTTTGAATGCCATTAACTCTTATGTAACACATTTTTTGAAGCCATTTATATGGCTTTCCATACCCTTTCTTTTGCAAATTCTGAAGCCAACTTGTTGGGTTTATTTGAAACGATTTTAACTAATTAAATTACATAGAAATGAAAAAACTTATTATTTACTTATTTATTGTTTTTTTTTTGTAAACTCACCTTTCGTTGTACTTCAAATGACGGAATTGTCTCTCCATCATTATTAGACACAACATCTAAAATATTACTTGCTGAAGATATCTCTCTGTAAAGAAATAATAATAATGACAAAATTATACAAGATATTATAATATAATTATAGTTGTTTTTGGTTATTATAGAATTTTTAGTTTTAGAAATAAAAAAACTTCTATTTACACCTAGAGATACAGAACTGAAGCAAATGAATTGAAGCTGAAATCTGATGACGTATTGTGTGTTGTTTGTACAGGGTTAGGCGATTGAAGTGTTCAAGTAATCATATCGTTTTAGTGTGAAAATATTTTTTTAATGATTAATTACCAAATTTTATGGAAATAATCAAAATTTTAGAATTCCTTCAATCTAGCTCGATGTGGCCACGTTTTATACTAACTATGGCCTTCAAACGGTTAAAAAATGAGTGGCATGCTTCACGAATGTAATCTTCTGATATTTTGGCCCATTCCTGAAAAATAGTTTTTTTTCAGTGCATCCATACTGTCATATTTTTTAGTCCTCACCTTGCTCTCCAAAATGGCATAGTTCATCGGATTTGCATCTGGCGAATTCGAAAGCCATTGCGTGGACGCAATCAAGTGTGGAATATGATTTTTTAACTATTCTTGGTTCTCACGAGCTTTATGAGACGGTGGCGAATTCGAAAGCCATTATGTGGACGAAATAAAGTGTGGAACATAATTTTTTAACCATTCTTGGTTCACACGAGCTTTATGAGACGCTGTCGAGTGTTGCTGCAAAGTCCATGATCTACGACTGAAATACCCGCGGCTCTAAAGCAACTTTCAAAACAATTTTCCAATAAAAAAACGCTTTGACTTTGGCACTAGGCTCGATGAAAACGATTGGAAAGCGTTCATTGGAGGTGACAGCTACCCATACCATTACTTGAGATGGAAAATTATTTCGGGTGCCCATTCATAGTTTGATATTTGCGATCAAACTCGATCATTTTGAGAGTTTATGAACTCAAAATTTTCTTATCAGAGAACACAATGTTTGGAAATTCGTTAAGTTCGTATAAGCATAACAACTCCTTCGCTCTTCACTTCGATTTCGTTTAAGTCGACCCTTCACTTTCCGATGTTGCTGTTTTTTTTCGTCCACCACCACTATTATAACGATTTATGGTACGATAGTTACTTTTTCACCTTTTTAACAAAAACAGCCAAATATATGTATTAACTACATTTCAGCTTACACAACATCAACATAAGACCAGAAGATGTCCAGAGATTATTAGAAAAACTATTGCACTAAAATAAA